GATGAAATGAAAGATTGGAAAGAGTAGAGTAAGAGAATCGTGAGTAAACAATGGGGGTCACAAGAGTTGGCTTTATAGAGGGAAGATTGGAGGGTATAACAGTCTTTATAATTGGGCTCAGTTATGGTTTTTTGTCGTGTCGTGGGTTATGGCTTGTGGTTTTTTGATATTTTCTTTGCAGCAGTCGCGGTCTGTATGTTTTTGTAGAAGTGGCTGGTAATTGCTGTTGTTTTATTTGTAGGTACAGATGCAGTTTGGCCAGCTGGTTTTCCTGCATCGACGGTACAGTTTGTTGCAAAATAAACAAAGTTGTGGCTGTTTTTTCTTGTATTGTGGTAGCAGAAGTTGTGTGGCAGGCTGGTGGTATAATTTTGGGTATACGGTTCTTGTTTGTTTGTGTAGCAAAGATTGATAAGCTGGATCAAGAGCGCTTGGAGGACAAAATTTAAAATTCTTGAATTTTTTTAAGACCAAAGAAAGAAAAACGATAATTAAAAGCTAATTGAACTTAAACCAAATAAAATAAAGATTAATAAAATATTAAACTAATTAAATTAAATTAAAAATATAATCTGAATTAAAATATAAACTAATTAGAAATAACTATATATAAAAACAAACTATAGTAAAATATTAACTAGATTATAAACAAATATATATATATATATATATATATATATATATATATATATATATATATATATATATATATATATATATATATATATATATATATATATATATATATATATATATATATATATATATATATATATATATATATATATATATATATATATATATATATATATATATATATATATATATATATATATATATATATATATATATATATATATATATATATATATATATATATATAAAAGACTATTTTAAAAATATAAATAAATAATTAACTAAAAGAAATAAAATGATAAAAAAAACAAATAAAAAGAATCGGATATCGAAATTTCCGAAAATAAAAAGACTGCACTAAAATTAAAAGCGCGGAATAAACCATCCAAAAAAACGTTTTGTCAGATTGATTAATTTTTCTGTAAATCCGAGAATTCTACTTCAGCTGACATTAGGCCGTATGCGAGATGAGAGGCATGTTATGCTATGCGGATGATGCAATGCGATAAAAAGTCAGATAATATGAACGCCACGACCTAATGGAATGCATAAATGAAGGCGAAGCGAGAGTCAGCTAGGATTAGAAAAAGTGAGAGCAAATTTTGGGATGCAACAAATATCCTATGGAAATATGTGTTGATAATAAATCAACATTTGCTTTGGCAAAGAATCTCGTATGCTTGGAGTCACAAATTAAATTTAAGGGGGGATGTTGAAATATTAAACTTTTTAGGTCTAACCTTATTATTTGTGTTTTTGATTTTTTGACTTAGTTATTTTGGGCTTAGGTAATTTTGAGTAATGTTTCTAGAAAGCTCTTGTAGTGTTTGGAATGTCTAGATATTTCTTAGGGTTGTAATATTTTCTAGAGTACTCTTGAAATTTCTAGAGTTGAGAACTCTCTAGAGTTAGTGTATCTATAGTTCTCCTTAGAGCACTATTAAAAGAGATGTAATCCTACACTTTTGAATCAACCAAAAAATAAAAAAAATTCTCTTCCATAAAGAATTATCCTATCTATCAAGTTTCTATTCAAGCCTCTAATATTCTCACACATTTTCCTAAACACAACAGACCTTATTTCCAACAAACACAACATACATTTACAATTATCACATCATATATATTTTTAACCTCTACCTTTGCATCTTGTAGGCAATACATAATTAGTCTTTTATGAAGTGACTAATTAAAACAAAGGGATTATTAAATAAACAACAACACTATTTATAATTTTTTATTTTATATATTGACTATTTTTACTCTGATTTTTTTAATAGGTAAATTATTATTATTAAAATTTGAACAATAAATTCTTGTATCTCCCAGAATGCTATGGATGATCTTCACCAGCGAATCCAATATTTAAAGAAAGTGGTACATCAGACAAAAAGGTATCTTCATCTAGCAGAGATTATGGACAGGGAGGAGATGTTGGCCCTTAAAGATCATACAATGATGTTGTCAAAGACCATGGACGCCATAGAGCGACAGAAGGATGAGGCCATGAGGCTACTATAATGTCGAGACCTATGAAACATGTACACCTCTAGGAGTCTAGAAGTAGATGTGTCGTGGTGTCCAACACGTGTTAGTGATGTTATCATGACAATTATAACGAGGACAAACATGATCTGATCCCTCCCATTAGTCATAGTTTGTGGTGTATATTTTTTGATGCTCACACGTATGTAATATACTTAAATTTTTTTGGTCTTATTCATTCAATAATGGAAAATAACCTAATCCGTAGCGTAATAGCATCTTATTTATGCATCATAAAATTTTCTTTATTCAGTTAGTATAACTTTATGAATAATTATGATATTATAGAACCACCAAGGCAGCTAAAATTACACAAGGGAGAACTTGAAAAAGGCCTAGTGGAAGTAACAATGGCATAGAGAATATACAAGAGAAATATAAGTCAATCGGACAAAGAATGTCCTCTAACTATTTGAAGCAATATTAAAAATGATTATTCCAACATTATTTCAAATTCTACAATTATCATCGACAATGGCCCAAACACAAAGTTTTAGCTAGATTCCTAGTGAAAACCTCCTCTAATTGAGAATATTTATCATTCTAATCATATAAATTTTAAGAATATTCATCATTCTAATCATATAAATTTAATTATTGTGTGGTTGACTTCTTTACTGATGGCTCTTGCCACTTTCCTGAATATACCTGCAACATGGTTTTAAATTTGATTTTGCTTGCTAATAAAGTTACCATTCCTTTAGACTGCACTAAAGATTGTAAGGCCTGGAATCACAATATTGTATGAAATTTATCTATGACATATGCTTTTGATATCAAAGCTTGCAATAGTCATAGCCTTCTTTAGTCAAAGCACATCTGGAACTCAAATATTCCTTCTTCTGATGCTTTCACTATTTAGAGGCTTTACTGCAACATAATGTCAACTAATTTGAATCTTATAATGATAGGTTATTGCATCCCTTCTATGTGAATTATGTACAAATTGGATCAGGAAACTTCACATAATCTTTTCTTTCAATTTTCCTTTTCTTCAATGCTTCGACATTAGTTCTTCTTCTTAGTTGGTATGAATGTGCATTGTGATTTCATTCTTGATATCCTGAATCTCTTTTACCGTAGTTGGAGTCCTTAATGTAAGGTAGTGCTCCAAGCACATGTAGTTTTTATTATCAATCATAGTTGGCATACAAGGAATCAAGTTCGTTTCAATAATCGTATTATGCATTGGAAAAAAGCTTTAAACTTGATTGCAGCTAAAGTCTCTCATATTTCAAATCACTTTATAAAGGCCTCCAAATCATCCATTCAGGATTTCACCATCATCAAGAAGTTTAATATCACCATTCATCCTTTTTCGGCTTCTAAGATCATTGATATGATTTCGCTAAGGGTGACAAAACATATTCAATCCGACGGACATGTCCGTTTTACATGCAAGCTTTTGTAAGATAGGCCAAGGTTTAAGGCAACACCTCTAATATGCTCACCATTTTTTTTTTGCAAACATTTGTTGACATGGGCGTTAACATAAATCCATTTTTCTTTTTAATTTAAAAAGATGCAGTGTCCGTGAGCCCGCTCTGATCCGCCTCATTTTTTTGCGAATTTTTTTTAAATGAGTCTAAATGAAGAATTTAAATACTCAAAATCCTTTAATTTAAAATGATATTTCCACTTTCCTTCATACGTGACAAACTTGGTATGTCAACCTTTAAACTTTTTTTCTCCTTAAGTTTGGTGTAACTCATACTTGTTTTATCATTTCCTTCACAATTCCATTTCTCTCTTTTGATTAAAGAAAATCTCTCACTTGAGTTGCTCCATATATATGTCATAGAAACTATATATCATACAAACTATTAAATTATTATTAATTTTTATAATAAAAAGTACACAATCATAGTTACAAATATTTTTCAAGTGTAAAATAATAATTCAATAAAACTTAACTATCGCGCATAAGGACATTTACTTATTATAATATTTTTGAAAATTAAATTTTAAATGTATTAAACATTAAAGAAGTTGTCACTGCAATAGTAGAGATTTATAAAGGATTTAATGGAGACGTCCTTGATAGTTTAAAAAAATTTACACTATTAATTAATAAAATATTTTATTATATTATGTTATATTATTAATCTAAAATTTTCAATCTAATTTAATATATAATTTATGATCGTCATTAAATGCGTCAATCTTTTTTATTTGTAAAATCAAATATTTCATTAAAATTATGTAATTCTGCTACTGTTAACTTTAAAGTTTATTTATATTTTTAAAATTCTAAATGCTAACTTATAAGTCAAAAAAAATTTTTAACACATACTAATTTTTGCATCAAATATTTATATTGAATTTTACTTATTTACTAAAATTTTATAGTAACATTTTTATTTAGTGCACATTCTCGTCTACTAACTGAATTAACCAAAAAATAAGGCAAGTGTTTGTTATTATATAGAAAATCTTTATACATAAAATCTTTAGGAAAAGAAACAAATATTAATAAATAAATATTTAAAAGGTGATTTGAAAAACTGGGTTCAGAATCTAACCTAATCAAACCCTAACTTCAATTTGAATTTGTTATAAATTGAGTAAAAATCGAAACTTGGAATAACAATGAATTTGTTATAAATTGAGTAAAAATCGAAACTTGGAATAACAATGAATTTGTTATAAATTGAGTAAAAATCGAAACTTGGAATAACAATGAATTTGTTATAAATTGAGTAAAAATCGAAACTTGGAATAACAATACTCTTCTCCGTGATTATAATTTTCCCAATTTCTTTTGTTTTCCAATTCTTCAAACTTCAATCTCTATTTCACTCGAACAATTGGAAACAACAATGGTGGATCATCGTGAATCGCCAATGGTAAGTATCTCCGATAACAAAGACGATTATTTTGTATTTCCCGCAATCAATCACGAGAATCTCAATCCCTTAACAAATCATCAAATTCCATGTTCAAAATCGCAATTGCAATCGCTATCGCAATTACCCCCTTCTTCTTCATCTTCTGATTGTCACATGTCAGGCGAATATTCTTCTCTCTCGCCACCACCGCTCGATTCTAGCCTCCGAAAAGGTGGCGACTTTATCGGGTGGATGAGCATTGGCTTCCAGATCTTGCGTTCTAAGTTCTTTTCCGCGGTTTCATCTTTCCAGAACCCCGGAGGGGCAATTCGGTCATATGGGTTACCTGCTGCCATCGTGGTGATTATCGTTGTGACGTTGATGAAGAGGAAGGAGAGTAAGAGGAACCTCACACCCAATGAGTCTCGTCTTCTGCAAATCATTATGGAGAAAGACGGGGTTCGTTCAAATTCAATTACTTTAATTTTGCATTTTGTTTATTTTTTATGTTTCATTGCAATTTCAGAATTTTGATAGGAAGCCTTTTTGTTTGGAGTTTCCTGAATATCTTCCGTTCCTCTGTTTTCTGACTCTGATTGTTTTATTTACAGAAAATTGCCCAACTTTTGCACCAGATTGCACAAATGAATGAAATACTGATAGATAGTCACAAAGCTTTGGCTGGAAAAGTGGTTGTTTTATTTACAGAAAATTGCCCAACTTTTGCACCAGATTGCACAAATGAATGAAATACTGATAGATAGTTAGAAAGCTTTGGCTGGAAAAGTTAAATGATTGGCGCTGATACTGTCTTTAGGTAGGGAAGCTAGTAGAGCACACTCTAAGTCTAACTGTACTAATTTAGCACATGTTCATTTATTTAGCACATGTTTTAAACTTTGTTTTCTTGGACAAAAGTCTATTTTTATTGCTTTTTAGCTTCTTTTTTTTTTTTAATGAAAAAGGCTCTATTTTAATTTATTTTTATGAAATTCTTGAGCATATATTGTTAGATTTGAATTGAGATTCATGTGTATGAAAAAAATTATGCAGACAAGCTTTTGTCTATGTTAATGATGTTTACCTAACCGTGATATTATCTACTTATCTAATGTTGAAGAAATACTTACTTAAAAATAAAGAAACAATGACAATTTTTAAAAGTGTTTTACAAATCATTTGATTTTCAAACTCAAACTAAATTCTAAACAGATAAAAAAAATAACAGGGCTTAGTAACTCGGATATCAAACTATAATTTTGGGTAATGTGGCCAGCCATAAGCCATTGCTTAAAAAACCAGTGCTTAAAAAACCAGATGGTTTTTTGTTCTTGAATCAGATTTTATCATGGAAAAGATTCAAGAACTAGGAATTAAGATGTGATACTTCCTCTTTTCAAGGCGATTCCTATTATTAATTGTTCCCATCTTTAAAAGAAGTTTGAGATGACTTAGAATGTGAGCATATTATTGGCAGAGAAGAAAAACAAACAATGTTGCTTCAAACTGATTCAAACTGATGATCCTACTGTTTTTTTTATTATCATTGTTGGTGTTAGTGGTATATGCAAGAAATCTTGATCAGTGGGGGCAAAATATATATACTATTATAAATATTTATATAAAAAATATATTAATGTGAAATCATATATTATTGTGTAGTAAAAAAGTTAAAACTATCAAAACTTTATTATTCTATATTAAAAAAAATCAAAGATACTTAAACATATAATTTTTTATAATAAATAATTCTATTTTAAAATTATTGAATGATTTTTCTTTTGTTTTTATTTTTAATATCTAACAAAACAACTGTTTAATTATTTAAAAATATTTAATTTTTAAAATACACAAATACTGATTTTCTTAGTGGGGGGCATTATTTGTGTTTCATCGTATAAAAAATAAATATTTTAAATTAATTTATAATAGTATAAATAATTTAGTGGGGGCAGTTGCCCCCAATACCATGGACATAGATCCGTGTTTAGAAATGTTAAAAAAATTGGGATCTTAAAAAAATTGGGAAGAAAAAAGAAGTCAGAACCATTTGTTTGCTCAGGGTAGCAACCCTCCAAGCAATTGAAGGATTTGACAAAGAAACTGGTTAATTTTTTTTGATGAAAACCTTAAACTGTTTCATGATCACATTGTATTACATTCCCTTGGTATACGAGTAAATGACAACTACATACGACATTTCCAGCAATGCGCCTAATGGAATTAAGTCAGGAATTAAAAGCAACAGATTTTTCTGTAAAAGTATCCGTTGATGTTGATGTCTGTGACAGTAACATGATGTATAGATGTTGTCAAATATTATACAATGTTATAAGAAAAAATGAAAATGTTGTTGAGAATATGCTATTTTGTTGTTTGATTTTTTTTGTTTCTTTGTTAAGATATAAGCTTGGAATCTATACAGCAAGTTAATAAACCTTTTTTAGTATAAAAGGTCAATAGGAGCACTAGTCAAATGCTACACAACAATACAGTGATATAAACTTAAAATTTTTCTAAAAAAGATACAGTGAATCTACCGCTGAAACCAATCAAATAGGAAATATGATGCCAAGCTTGAGGCGCCAATCTACCGCTGAAACCAATCAAATAGGAAATATGATGCCAAGCTTGAGGCGCCGCCAGGCAATAGATAAAGAGATGAACATGAGATTCAGCAAGGCCTAAGCACATGGGACACACTAAACTATGTGTTTCGCTGATGATGCCACTTTTTGCAAGTTCATGTTTTAATTTAGGTTGCTTTGTCGTGAGAGCGAGATGCCACTTTTTGCAAGCTCGTGTTTTAATTTAAGAAACGGATGTTGATGTCCCTAGTTGTTTCCTCTTCTCCGAAGGTGACCTTCAATTCCACGTATCCCCAAGGTCTCGTCGTCGTCCCATTAAACCCCTGAAGGTCGGAGCCTACGTAGGGGGAAAGGTTAGATTCGTCGAGCTGGAGAGTTGTGAACAGGTGTGAGTACATGATGTCAATCGAGCTCCCGCCGTCGACGAGGAGGCGCCTGACGTCGAAGTTTGCCATCCGGGCACGTATGAGCAGGGGTATGTTGGAATTAGGGGATCCCCCGGGGAGTTCCTCGAGGTAAAATGTGATCGGGTTGGAGCGGCCTCGAAATTTGTCGAGCGTGCTCATTTTGCCGGAGTTGTTCGCGATGAGTTCGTCGAATTTTCTTTTCACGGATCCGATGGACAGACTCCTCGTGGCTCCATCAGAGATGACCATGGCTCTGGGGAAGTATTCCCACCGGCTGGTTGGTCGGATTGGCTCGTCGATTAGGTCGGGCCCTTCGGGGAGACCGAATTCTCTGCCCGCGAACCAATCCTCGAGGCGTCTGACACACAACGCGACTTGGAGTCTGCTGTTGTCCTCTGGAGATGGAAGTTCCTCGACTTTCTTGGCTTCTGGAGCCTCTTGCCTAGGTGGTTCGCCTCCTCGGGTGTATCTCTTCAGGTGACCGTCTTTGATCAGAATTTTGATCGCATCCTTGAGATGGATGCAATCTTCTGTCACGTGCCCGTGGCTCCTGTGAAATTGGCAATATTTCGATTTGTCCACGTTCGGTTTGGGGGGTGTCGGTCGCGGGAAATGGACACCTCCCTGTACGAATTCTGTTTTGGCGCATTCGGCCAGTATGCGCTCGCGGGAAGCGACTAAGGCCGTGTATTCCGTGAATCGGCCGGCAGGGCCACGCGGTTCACGTTGTTCGCGGGGCTCGCGGGGGCGGTCTTCGCGACGGCGGTCTCCCCCCCGTCGATGGCTCGAGGCTCCATCGTCTCGGTGCCCGCGGGGGGCCTCCCGGTCTCGGGTGTCTCAAGCGGAGTTGGCCGCTTGCGTTTCTTCGAATCGGATATAGTGCGCGGCCCTGTCGAGGAAGTCTTGGAGTGATGTTGGTCGGTGTATGCCTACGGCCTCGTAAAACTTGGAGTCGTGGCGCAGACCTTGCTCCATTAAGTAGCGTTTCATCTCGTCTAACGTCGTCACCTGCACTGCTTCTCGAGTGAATCTCTCGATGTACTTCCGGAGAGGTTCGTCGGGGCCCTGGATGATCGCCCCGAGGACTGCTTCCGTCTTCGGGTGGCGTCGGGACGCCGTAAAGTGTTTGGAGAACAGGTCCTTCAAGACCCTCCATGACGTAACTGATTCGGGCTCCAGACTTTTATACCAGGTCATAGCGCCCTTCCTCAGAGTCGTCGGGAAGAGTCTGCACTTAATGGCTCCCCGGACATTTCGGTAATCGAGCATGGCCTCGATATCCTCTAGGTGATCGTCCGGGTCGGTCGTGCCGTCGTACGTCGACAGCGTCGGGGGCTTCTCCATCCCCTGGGGTATGGGGGCAGCCATGATTTCTCGGGACAGCGGGGTGCGGTAGTCGTCCTCGTCGCTGGGTGCCGGGGATCAATGGGGAGATGAGCCGTTCAAATTAGGCCCCTGGTTTCGGGTTCTTGTCCTCCTGCCTGGGTTGTCGCCTCGAGGATCCCCGGTCGGGATCGCCGCAATGCTCTGGTTCCTCTCGTGAACGTGCCTTGCTGGGGATCTGGTGCGTTCTCGTGCCACCTGTGTGCGGTGCCTCTCCAGCCGCGGTCGGCGGTTTCTGGGTCGAGGTGAGGGGCTCCTCGAACCTCCGTTCTGGTCTTCCCGCGGGGGGTACCTCGGAGGACCGATGCGTTCTAATGCTCCAATTCTCGCATTTTGTTGGAACAGCAGCTGGTTCGTCTGGTTGATGGCCGTAAAGAGGGCGGCCACCGTTGGGTCCGCTCCCGCGCGGGATGGGAACAGGGTGGAATGCTCGCGGGCTCGGGGGCCGGTGGTCGACCTGAAGGGGCCGCTCTGCGGATGACGGTGAAGCAGTTTGGCCGTCCCTTTCGTCGGTTTCCGCCGGACGCGTCGTCCCTGTCTGCTTGTTTCCATTGGTGGCTACATTGAGCACGAGGTCGTGCGGAGTGTCGTCGTGGTGTGGACTAGCCATGATCGTTGAGGTTTGGTGAAACTTTTGGTTTTCTGCTCGGAGTAACGGGGAAGTTTCAGATTCCCACAGACGGTGCCACTGATCCGACCTGATCAGGAGGGGATCACGGGCTGGCCACACGCTGTTGGGCTGCTACCTGTTCACCGGTGATGAGGAGGAGAAGGGGGGTGTACCTGCAAGACACTCCGATGCCAAAGTAAGAAATTGGGCAGAGTGAGAGCAAAGTACAGAAAGGGCAAGATGTGAATTACCTGACCCTCTTGAGGAAGAGGGTATTTATAGAGAGACCCCAGCGCTGGGCCAACGGTCATTTGAGGTGGACTGGATGACCAGGCCCAACCCTAATGACTGCTAGGGCTTACGTGGCGTAGTGAAGACCAGAACGTGGTCTTCGCTCTAGTCCAACTATCCCGTGGTCTCCGGAAGGTGGGTTTGACCTGCTCTTTCGGAGGTGGGCAGTTAGGAGCTGACGTGTCCCCGCGGAGGGGTGCACGTGGAGAACGTGCGCCAGGCACGTTGTTCTCCCCGCGGAGGGGAGCTCGGGAGATTCCCCGGGGCGCGATGTTCTTCCCGCGGAGGGGCGGAGCCGAGGCCTCGTTTTGATACGCTGGGGTGCGTCCTGCTCGGCTGATAAGAGGGAACGGCGAGAGGCTGTGGGCTGCGTCGCCCGCGCCCGGTGGTGCATTCCGCCCGTCCAGCGGGGCGTGCGTGCCCGGCGTGGCCAATTCGCTTATTGGGCCGCGCGAGGTACTTGGCTGGAC